ATTGGTTGAAGCACTGGACTTTACCCATCCCTCTCCATTCCTCTCAGCTAAGCTCCCCTTTTCCTCCCAACCAGCACCTTGTGTGGGATTCCAACTTGGACTCCCACTGATCATGTAAGGGCTCATTAAATGGTGGTGGGAACACTGTGGTCAAACTGTCAAGCATCAAAGACACCATTAGAGGGAAGCCAAGTGAGGGTGAATCAATTTCATGGAATTAATTCATACCATGTGGAGATATGTACCAAAATGGCAAAGGAGTCAGCTTTAGGAGGGAGGCAGTGGCACATATTACAGTCACTGGCCCAGGAGGCAGGGGCCTCAACTCAAGTGCTTGTCTTGCCACCTTCCACCGGGAGCAAGACACAACTTCTCTGAGTCTTCACAGTTCTTCATCTGTAAATTGGCAATAGTGAGATTGTTGGGAATAGTGTTTTGTCAGTTTTGAAGTTCTATAAAATGTAATCTATTGTTTTTGGTGCTGATTAATTCTGTTGCTGCTAGCAGGAAGTATGACTTTATGTAAGAGTAAAAAGCAAGTGGGGGTGGTGAGGGAGGGAGAATCTACCATTCCTTCCAAAGAATGGGAGTCTAGACAAGGCAATCGTTCTATGATACTGTCGGGTGACAATGAAGTTGACAATTATTGTAGTCCTTTTGTATATTGATCTCCTGGTTCTTTTTACTTCCCTTTTCCTCAGTTCGTATAAGATTTCTCATACTTCTCTCCACTCACTATATCAATCTTTTCTTATAGCACAATAATTCTCCATTCTATTCTGATGCCATGGCTTTAACTGATTGAGGGGCATCTCCTTTGTTTCTAGTTCTTTGCTACTCCTAGAAGTGCTGTTATCTATATTTTAGTGCACGTAGGACCTTTATTTTTTGTCAGTGACCTCCTTGGAATATGTATATGCCTAACAGTGGAATCTCTGTCAAAGGGTATGGATATCTTAGTTATTTCCTTTATGGAATTCCAAATTTCCATAATTTTTGGATCATTTCAGTCACCAACTTGCTATCAATGTACCTATATTTCCAACAACCTATGTCCATCTTTTTTTTTTTAATCTTTGCCAGTTTTCTGGATATGAGGTAAAACCTCAGAATCATTTTGATTTGCACTTCTCTTACTTTCAGCGATTTGAATCTGTATTTCATATGGCTAACCATTCATTACTCTTCTTTGGGGAGCTAACTATTGGAAGCAAAACCTTTCTATTTTCGTAGGATTTGCCAGTACAGTTAAATCTAATATCCTTGGAAAAGCTGAGATCAGCTCCATGTAATGATGATGAAGTGGAGGACTTTGTCAGAAAGCCTTCCAGGGTGCCTAACACTCTACCAAGTCATTTTCCACTCTTAGGAAAGCGCATGTCCCTTTTTTTTTTTTAATGATTAAGTCATAGGATTATAAATACGTGAAACTAAAAACTCCCTTTTCATATGCTGCTGTTCACATATTATCAATCCAGCAGTGAGTAGTTAACCTTAGAAGAGCAATCAGAAAACACTTTTGCCGCAAATATGCTTTCAAAGTGTTTTGTTATACCATTTTACTGATTATGATGGCATGACACAAGTAAACAGATTTTAGTAGAAATGTATAATGATAGATGGAACAAGCCAACTATAGAAACCAGGGTGTCTATTTTTTGTCAATGGGCACATAGCCTTAATCTATGAAAGAGGTATGGGCTATCACTAAAAATATGAGAGGAAAAAGCCACTGGCGTAGGAGTCAGGACATATGGATGCTAAATCTACCTCTGCTATTAACTCACAATTTGACCTTGGGTCAGTTTAGGGTTGCTTATCCTATTTGCTCATAAATGAAATGAAGATATTTAACTAGATGAACTCTAAGGTCGATTTTAGCTTCAATGTATAAAGAGTATACAGAGATTGTTGGCAAAGCTGTAACTAGAGCAGAGTGATAAATGCTTTGTTCTAGGGCACCAAAATTTAGAGGGAGCAAAAAATCAACATATAGATTTTCCTTCAGAAAAGTAGGCAGTAGAAGGAACATGAGGTTTGGGCAAAGACACTAGTCCAGACCTGAGTTCTTTGGATATTCCCCCTATCAAGTTTCCTCAAATGCTGGCAAGGGAGTAAAGAAGACTAAGAAGTCCTGGTTCTAGACATCTGGGAAACACGTACTACCATAGCTTCCTCCTTCCTTCTCTCTCTGGCCTGTAAGGAAATTTCCAACTGGCTCTTCCTCAAACTTCCTTCTTCCCATACCCAGGACTTCTCCTTTTCTTGTTTTCATTTTTTTTTGGGGGGGGTAGGCAATGGGGTTAAGGGACTTGCCCAGGGTCACACAGCTAGTAAGTGTTATGTGTCTGAGGCCGGATTTGAACTCAGGTCCTCCTGACTCCAAGGCCAGTGCTCTATCCACTGCGCCACCTAGCTGCCCCTGGACTTCTCCTTTTCTCTGTCCTTTCCAGGTGGATCATTCTTTCTCTTCTCCTCAAAAATCAGTCATTTCTCCCGGTGACAGTGCCTAATCCCCGTTATATTTTCCCTTTCATAGACTGTGGTTGAGTAGAAAGAGCTTGGGACTCAGTTCCCCAATTTGGACTTGACAATTCTCCATCTCTTTTCTAACTCCCAGACTTACTTCCCCAGGCCACTCTGATACCCAATTCTGCCTCCCACTCAACTCAATTTGTCAGAATTTCTTCTCGTGTTGTTTTCACAACATGAATTGCAACATTGATGTGAATGTGCATTTTGTGATCATTACATGAATGCCAGATTTGCTAATTACAGCTCTGGCATATAGTAGGCACCTAACAAGTGTCTGTTGATTGGTTTGCTGAAGGTCTAGATATCTAGTGTGGTCACTATTAAATCACTTGTTTGAATTTCAGCCATGTAGTAGCATGCTAATTAGTTGGGGGAATGGAAGTCTTAGGATGGGCATACTTGCTTAATGTTCCTGGACTGAAGAAATAGCTTTATGTTAATAGGACAGTCTCTTTGGTCTGCTGTCACCTGAAGGAATATGGTGCCCCCTCCTTAACTTGATGGACAACAAGCTTGGCTTAAAGAAACTTGAGAAGAAATTGTGATGCTAAACCACAAAGAGTAGCTAGTCTTTCCTGCTCCTAGTCCATAGAGAAGGGAGGTGAAATCACAATAAGGACAGACACATTTTATTTCCCTCTACTATAAGAAGACTATAAGAAGGAAGAAGCAATGAAGTAGCTGTCACCTTTCTAGGATCTAAGATTCACAGAATTTAGAGATAGAGGGGAATTTAAAGAGCATTTGGACTAATGGCCTTAAATTTTCAAATGGAGAAACTGAGGTAACACATGAGAAGTTACTTACTTTTTGCACCAAAATGAGTTGACCTTTATACCAAAAGTTTTAGCTTGCCCAGGCCAGAAACTGAAGCTTTTCTGGGGTAGGGTGGAGGTAGTGAGAAAGGAAACTAAGGGAGGTAGAAAATATGATCTTAGAGATAAAAAGGGGTTTTTACTTCTGGCCAGACTGGAAATAGGCAGAGAGTGACAGGTGAATGAAATTGGGACTCATTTTGAAGTGGATTATTTTTCCTCTCTCATTCTGCTTTCTTCTTTCCTGTACAGAAGATGCCTTCAAAGATGGGAGTTCAAGGCCTATGAGAGGACTGTTGTTTCTGTAGCCTGCTGGCTATAGGTTCCTTTTTCCTGGGTCAGCTTGAATATCTTTTACCTGAAAAAGTCAAATGTGCAACTTTGTAAAGGTAGGATCCACTCCATCTCTTTTGGTATAAATGTTAGTGTAAATAGATTTTAGATTATGTAATAGTGCTAGAATTCCCTTGCACAAAGAAGTTATTTGGTAGATTATCATGTGGTTGCTTTTTTCTCCTAAGCGATAATCTCCCAATAGTAGTAGTTGAACTTTAATCTTAGTTGTCAAAAAATACAAACCCTTGTTTATATTTATTTGTTAAATATTTGTTATAAATAAATTTATTTATTTATAAATAACAAATAAAAATTTGTTAAATTGTATGTGTGTGTGTTGGGGAAAAGGGGTAGGTTGTAACAAAAAAGTGTGACCTACTAAGTGCAGCCTGCCTAGATCATATTCGACCAACATCTTGAGATATTAATGCTTAGAAGATTAATCTCACTGGAAGGTGCCAGCTGCTATCTCACAGTTCAGTGAAACAATACAGATACTCCTGGCAAGCAATCTTCATCACAACATGTGGGGTGTCCCAAAAGTCTTAGTGCAGCTCTGAGCAACTAAAACTTAACTGCACTTAGACTTTGGGTACACCCTGCATACGGCTAAAATTTATTACACTATCCTAAGGTGTTCCCTTTCGTCAAGTGTAACTGAGGAGAAAACAAAACCAAACAAAACCCACCATATGGTTACATTTGACTGGCCTGCTAAAATATGCAGATGCCCAAATTATTGCCAGATGCTTCCTCTGGCTCTCCACTGCCTCCATGTTTGCCCAGGAGTGTGGCACAAAAACACATCTGCAGTTGCTTTTAGTGAAAAGCATATGTTGTATCCATGAGCAGATATTTTCCGTACCATATAGGCGATGAAATCCAGGAGCTGGTTAGTGATGGAAGCTCCCTCCCTAGTACAAATAATGATGGCAACTGCTTCATGGAAAGCTAGATGGTTACAAAGCAATTTGCGAACTTGTCACATCTGATTCTCCTGACAGCTCCATGAGGTGTGCATTCTAAGGATCATTAGCCCTATTTGTAGGTGAACCGTGACTGACCACCAAAGGGATTTGTGGTTGTTGTTATTGTTTTTGTTGGTTCTTCATTTTTTTAGTAACAGTGACATCACGGTTTGACGTCTTGACTTGTGCATGAATTGGATTTAAGCGAGGCAGAGTTGTATAAACTGTCAGCATCACTCTCTCTTTCTGAGTCATTGAAGTCCAGTCACAAGACAAAAGTCAGGATGACTGATGATGGTCCAGGATGCAGGATGGGGGGGCCTTGGCATCTTTGATGGCTGACCAAGCTCTAAGCACTCCACAGTGCCTGCTTTAGCCATCTTCATGGCCGTTGGGACAAATTGTTCTCATCTGCCCGTTCTGCCAGGGTGAGTCTTCCAGTTTGGGGCTATAACAAAGAAATCAGATGTAAATGTTTTTGTACCTATAGATCCTGGTCCTCTTTGAGGTATTGACAGCAACAACAATACAAAAACTCTGGAATTGGAGTCAGGGGATCTGGGTATTAATCCTACCTCTACTATATGCTTCTGGGTGACCTTAGACAAATTACTTAACTGCTCTGTTCCTCAATCTCTTCATGAATAAAATAAGAGGACTGAGTCAGATAGCTGGACCTAAATCCAATGACCATCTTTCTCTGAGAAAATATATGTCAGAAGTTCAGATGGCTATTATTATCAGGGACATGCCATACACCACATAGGAAAGAGATATAATCCTGGGATATGAGTTAAGACAAGAGAAAAAGCATATACCATAGGTCTAAAAGCCAAAGTCTAGGGTCTAAGAGGTCAGTGTCAGCAATGAGCATGGCTGGTGAGATCTGAGCCTAGGGCAGAAGCCATCTGCCCTGTTTTATGCACTCTAGTATGTGTGGCTGGCCTTGAGCTCACAAGCGTCATTACAGTTAGAAGAACTAGATCCCTCCAGGTGAATGTATCCCCAACTGATGCAAGGCCAAAAGTTCTAGGATCCCCAGAAAGTCTTATCTTATTTGTCACACTAGAGCATGGGTGACTTCAGGGCAGATTTGTCTAGGAATGGTCAAGCCTGGAAATCAAATGAGACAGGGTCTTGGCACTTGCTGAGTTTTGTTATTACAAAATTATTCTCTTAGTTCTTTTCACTTCACTCTGCATCAGTTTATATGAGTCTTCCCAAGTTTCTCTGAAACTTTTCTGGAAGTTTCCCTTGTATCATTTCCTACATAATAATAGTATTCTAATAATTCACATATCATAATTTGTTTAGCCATTCCCCAATTAATAATCATCTCCCTTAGATTTCCATTCTTTATGATAACCAAGAGTTCTGCTATAACTATTTTTCACTCACGTGTTCCTTCCTCTTTCTTTGCTTTTAGTGGAACATATACCTAGTAGTGATCTCTCTGGGTCAACAGGTATGCAGTATTTAGTGAATTTGGGAGGCATAGTTCCAAATGGCCTTGACAGAATGTCTAGATTAACTCACTGATCTACCAACCATGCATTACTGCGTCTTCAATAAATTTGACTCTTGTTGTAAGTCATATATGAAAGTAAGCCAGTTATGGATGGATAAACTACACTAGATAAATTAGATAAGTATTGCTGGTCCAGGCAAGAGGTCAAGTCAGGGAAGCAAGATACTATGAAATCAGCATTGGCTCTGAAGTAAGGGAACCTGAGTTCAAATGTTGTCTCTGATACTTACTACCTATGTGATCTTGAGAAAGTCAGCCTCCATTTTTCAGTCTCAGTTTTCTTATCTGTAAAATGAAGGGGTTGAATAGATTACCTCTGAGATACTTTTCAGTTTTAGATCTATGATCTTAGGAAACATTGCTAAGTCAAGAAAAGCCAGTCAGATATGATACATTGATATACCCAGAGACCAGAGACCTAGAAATCATATTTGTTAAGGTTCATAGGGACCTTTTAAGACAGCAACCCAGTAAGGAAAATCAGACAAATATTATTTTCTCCATTCTAAAGCTGAGGAAACAACCTCAAAAAGTTTAAGTGATTTGTTGAGAGTCCCAAAGCCAGCATCAGAGCTAGAATGAGAACTGAGAATCCAGGTCTCCATTTCAATCTCTCTCTCTCTCTTTCTCTCTCTCTAATAAATGTTATTGCTATATTTTTATTTTATAGTGCTAACATTTCTCAGTGTACCCTTCCTTTTTCCCCTTCCCACAACTATCCCCTATAAGTTGTTTTTTTTTAATCATCTGCCAAAAGTAACTAACACATAAAAAAGTCTGACATTGCATGCAGCGCTTCACACCTATAGCCCCCCACCCCTTTAAAGAAATTGGAAGAGGTATGTTCTCATTACCCTTTCTTGAGGCCAAGTTTGGTCATTCACTACAATTTCCCAGAATTCGGCTTCAATTGTTCTGTTGGTAATGTTCATTCTACTATTTTTTCTTGAATAGTGAAAAGAACAGTGGACCTGGAGCAGGAAGACTTGTGTTCAAATCTTAGATCTGCCACTTACTGTATGTATGAGACCTCTATATGAGTCTCAGTTTCCTTGTCTGAAAAAAATAAAGGATTGGATTAAATTTCCTCTTGGGTTCATTCTAGCTTTACTGTTCTGTGACTATGATGCTATAAACAAGCCAGCTAATTATTATTCATTACGTGGATAAGTAAGCAGTGGTATGCATGGTCACAGACTAGTCAGACCTTCTGTTTTTTACAGTTCCTCAGGCTGGCCCACAGCAAGATTTTGAAACAGATGAAATTTTTCCTTGACACCCCCAGTCTTGCTGTTTATTCTGTCCCTCCACAGATGTTTCCCATCCATGGTGTCTACTGACCTCCCTGTCTTTCCTTCCACTCCTTTATGCAAATCAACTGTCAAATGGCCTTTCTTCACACTAATTACAGATGAGGGGTAACTTAATATGTCTGCTCTCCCAGGAATATTTGCACTATAACTTTTAAGTGAATAGGATGTAGCGTTGATGATTGTGTATCAGACATCAGCCAGTGGATAAGGAAGGCTTCGTAATGGGGTGGGGAACTGGGGCCTTTCTAGTTCCTCTGCAATCCTATAGTCACCTGTTCTGCTTATATACAAGGCTGTCTCCAGAATCAATTATTAAAATATTCTTCATGATGATTTTCCATTGAGGATTCAGGCAGTGAGATGGCACAGTAAAGGTGTGCTAGAACTGCAGATGAGTTCAAATCTCCCTTTAGGCATTCCCTAGCTGGGTGACCCTAGGCACCTCCTACAAGTGACTTAAATCTCTGCCTGCCTCAGTTTCCTTGCCTCTAAAATGCAGATTTTTTTTCTGTTTCCCAGAATCGTTTTAATGATAAAATGAGATCTTCATAAAGTGCTTTGTAAGCCTTAACGCTCTCTATAAATGCTAGCTATTATTATTCAAGGGCCTGGTATATTATAGTTTTTGTGTGGCTCAGCCATCTTCCCAGTTGCATGTTAGCTGCCAAAAAGACAAACATATACTAAGCAGCAATATTAATGCCCCACTGGAAACCTGCATACTTTTGTAGGAAAAATCCTTTGCTAATATAAATCATTTATAGAATGATGCCACAAAGATGTCAAACATAGGGATAAATGTTCAATATTCATTATTAGCAACTATATTTTCTCTCTGAAGCCTGACAAAAACAAAATGTAGGAGGAAGAAAACTTCAGTGAACTTGTTTTCAGTATTTCTCTGCTGTATGACTGGGGTTACCAGAGGCTAGACTTCCTCCCTTAGGATAAAACTCCAAGGCAGAGGTTCTTAACCTTATTTTTGTCATGAATCTCCTCTTCAGTATGATAAAAATGATAGGCCCCTTCTCAGAATAATATTTTAAAATGCACAAAATAAAAAACATAAGGAACCCAATTATACCAAAATGCAATTATCAAAATATTTTAATAGAAGTTCAGAATCCCTGTCCTAAGAAGAAAGGGAACTTATGGGCACATTAGGTATGTGGCAACCCCTAGAGGTCAACTCTTCTTGTCACGAAGGTTTTCCATGCTGACTTGTATGAGTCTGGAGTGCCACAATCCCAGGAAAATAGTATAGGAATTCCCAAAAAAATGCTCTCCCTGGAGAACACAGATGTGAGATGCAAACCCTGGGCATCCTACCAAGATAACTAAAATCTCAGGCAGCAAGAAACACTTACATAGTACTGTGAGGAGCCTCGAAATCTGTTACCATGGAAAATAAAATTATCTAACACTGGTCTCCATCCTTGTTCATATAATAACTGTTAGGGCCTGTACTCGTCCTCAGCAGAAGCAGAGTCAGCCAATCTATCACCAATAGCTTCTAGCCACTGGTGCTGCTATCATAAATCATGCACATAGTGGCCACCTCCTCCAGGTATAATTCCATGTTGGCTGTTGGCCTTTCTTGGTCCTACTCATTGCTCTTGACCCAGGGCCAGGATATCAGTCCCACATCCTGACTTGCTGTCTTACTGACAATGATCACGAAGTTCTTGATTTTGTTTACTGGCTCGCTTTGGTCTGATCTGAAGTTCCCAGATGGCTAAAAAAAAAAAAAGAAACTGAAAGCATAGTGAAATACCCTTCTCTCTTCCCCCACAGTCACTTCATTGCTTTCCTTTGCTTCGATTATTCACAGCAAACTGTGAAGAGACAGATGTCAGGGAGTCTTCAGCATAGTAGCCAATTTAAGGGGCGTGTAGAGTTAGCCTCATAATGGATCAGGAAGAGGGATAAGGTCAAATTCTAACAAATTCTAGGGTCAAATTCCTTTTCAAGTAACATTTTTTTTTCAGCAGAAAAGCTTTCATTTCATAATGCCTTTAAAATCTTCTTATGCCTCTAAACACATGGGCCCGTGTATAGTATCCTGGCTCAACACTGACCTCCAAAAGGGGTCCTCAAGAAATGATGCACAAGCAAAATGAGCTAAAATTGTAGTGGAGGCCAACTGAATGCCAGCCCACCAGTGAGCAGTGGGTAACATCTTTGCTGCTGCAAAATGGACTCATGAACAGCAGAGAGTGCTAGCCATAAAATGCACTGATCGCCTCAGGGTTGGCTTCTCTGGCAGAGCTCTCAGAGGTCTGAGTCTTTGGCTTGGACGAGGTATAGCATCATTGAAGAATGCCTGTAAAATTGTAGGGAGTATGTGAAGTGAAGTAGAAAATGGCATAGAATAGTCCAGTGGCTTAAAGAGAATCAATGTGATTTAATTAGAAATCTAGAATTCAAGTCCTGGATGCCCTAAGTACTAGCTATGTGAGCAAGGACAAATAATTTATTCTCTCTGAGTCTCAGTTTACCCATCTCCAAAACAGAGAAAATAGGGCTTGAACTAACAGCCATTGGGCTGTTAGGAAGAAAGTGATTTCTGAACCTTACAGATGGTTTTTGTTGTTCAGTTGTTCTTCAGTCATGTCCGACTCTTCATGACTTCATTAAGAGTTTTCTCGGCAAAGATACTGGAGTGGTTTGCCATTTCCTTTTCCAGCTCATTTTACAAATGAGGAAACTGAGGGAAATAAGGCTAAGTGAATTGCCCAGGGTCATATAGCTAGCAACTATCTGAAGCTGGGTTTGAACTCAGGTCTTCCTGACCCCAGGCCCAGCTTTGTATCTACTGTTACCTAGCTGCACTTACAAATGGTACCAAACTCAAAAAGAAAGGGGTCTCTGATGGCTACATATCTACTTAGAAAAATACAAATTAACTATGTTGTATTGCATTTTTGTTTGTTTTGTTAAATATTTTCTAATTATATTTTAGTCTAACTCAGTAGCACTGTGGAGTTCAAGTGTTTGGGGCTGGTAGACCAGGGTTTGACACATTTTCATTACATAACATCTTAAGCATTAGGAAGATATCTGGGGCAAAGTGGCTGGACTAGATTTTTTTTAATAAAGTGTTTTTCCAAACAGGCAGAGCAGAATGTTTCTCATCTCCATTGTCCTTGTTCCTGAAAGGTACTTCTACCTCTGAATGTAATGAGTTTAGATGACAGGTCCTTGAAATATGAGCAGAAAATACATACGCACACATACAAACATACACACACACACACACACACACACACACACACACACATACACACACACACACACACACACATGCACACACAGAGTAGGTACCTAACCTCAAGGAGGAGCTCTGAACAAAACAACTAAAACAATTGAAAAGAAAGTGAAGAAATGAAGATAAATAGTAGGAATAGTTTGTACACCATCTTCTTTCCTCTCATCCTCCCTGCCCCCATTGAGGTGATATCATTGTGCTACTGATGACTTTTTATAAGATCAGAGACTTTAGAGCAGAACGGGATCTCTGTGATCACTTAATGCAGCCCCATCATTTTAGAGATGGAGAAACCGAGATAGGTCTTGAGATGGGAAATGATACTAACTTCAGCCTCAGAGGCAGAAGTTTTAGTGGAAAAAATAATGAATGAGAATGTGAAAGTGGAGAAGAGAGGTTGGGTTCTCCTCTTTCTCTGAGGACTTCTGGGAATTCAGATGGGGAAATCTTTCCTATGTGTTCTTTATCTGAGGAGTGCACAGCCATCTGTGATCTAATGTGAGAGCTGTCAGTGGGGGCAGTTGCAACATCTCTTGAACCAACAATCTTGGTCCCTGACCTTGCTTGGCTCCCTGAATACAATCTGATGAGCTAGTTGCCTCATTACCTCTCCTCATGCTTCACTGCTGTTGTCATAAAGGATATTCAATTGGCTGAAAGGTATAGAGCTCAGTTCTTTTATTGTTAGTTTATAACAAGCAAAAAACAAAACGCATAAACATGATTTGGTGAAGATAAACACCACCTCAGAGACTCTTCAACAAGGTATATGAAAAATCATACAAGAGTCTTTCAAAGACGTAATATCTGAGTTAACTAGAGGCAACTGGGTGATACAGTGAACAAGAGGGCTGGACTTGGAATCAGAAAGATTTGAGTTCAAATTCTGCTTCAGATATTTACTGTGGGACCCTAAGGAAGTTTAACCCACTCCCAGCCTCAGTATCCCCATCTGTAAAATGAGGAAACTAATATACCTTCTTCATAGAGTTGTTGTGAGGATCAAATAAGATAACATGTGCAATGTTATTAATCTTAAAGTACTATATAAAATACTACTTATAATTATTAATAACACCCTGATTACTAATATCAATTGCATAACAAAATGAGAAAATGTATACTTATCAAAGATATTTGACAAGATCATAGAGGAGGACTCTTGTCTAAATGAAAGAGGGATTTCCTATAGGTGGGGAGATCTTGTTTACATACAACATTGTACTGATTGCAGTAAGTCCTGGAATATGGCAATCCTTCAATGAAATACAGAACCACTTAAAAGGGTTTTTCCTAACCACCCACACAGGAATGAAAACAAATTAATGTAACCTGGCTATTGAGAAGCCTATGATATATAGTTGAGTGCGGAACCCACACTGCTCCAGTAGTACACATACTTAGGTACTACAAATGGGCAATTCCACCGATCGCTAGTGCTCTCCCCTCCAACTACCTCGGGCTTAATTACTTGGCATTTATGTATATTTATCCCCTTTGTATTTATTCTGTATGTAATTATCTACATATAAATATGTAAATACTTATATGGATAGATACATATATATTGGCATGTAACTATATGTATGCATATGTATGTAAGTATGTTTATATATGCATGTACATACACACACACATATATATAAAATGAATGAAACAATCCTACTTAAAAGGAACTTACACTCCAATGGCCAATATTAGATATGTGTGTGTGTAATATGTATACCCACATATAATGAGTATATGGAAAGGATCTTATATATGTATATGTATATATATTTCTGACATGTAAAATTATTTCAAGAAAAAAAAATATATATATATATTTCTTTTGTTGCCCATTAGAATGTAAGATCCTTTCAGTAGGGATTGTTTCATTCATTGTATTTGTTTCCTCAGTATCTGGCACAATGTTTGGCACACAGTAGGTATTTAATAAATGCTTATTGATTGACTGACTGAATTAATAAATAAGCTAGCCCATAATTGAACAGGAAGAAGGGAAATTCCATAACGTTTTTAACGGCCCCATATCTCGTTCTTTAAAAAAAAGCCCATTTTTTTCCCAAAGGGCAGAGATTTGGCTGCATAGCTTTGAGTAATGGACTGCCAGTCTCTGAAGAATTCATATTGCAAATTGCTCCACATGTGAATGATGGGAAATTAGCAGGTTACAATACTTTATCAAAAAGAATCGCATTGCAAAATGTGACAAGGAGTGTCATCAGAGAGATGTATGAACAGAAAAAAAAAATGGGCTAGTCCCCTGGCAAGAATGAGGGAGAGTTAATTGATGGACAAACTATACATTCTGTTATCAAGAGATCTACAAGAAGGCCTTCTTCCTGTGGAGAATTTATGCTAGGACATGAATAAGAGCTGTAAGTGAGGGATAGTCAAAGATGGATTTCGAACTGTACTGTTTGAGGAAGTGCTCAGATCAATGAAATCAGATATCCATCCTAATACGGGCAATTCCTTGGAGATATGATGGGTTCAGTTCCAGACCACCTTAGTAAAGTAAATTTCACAGCAAAATAAATCACATGAATTTTTTGGTTTCTCAGTGTGTGTAAAAGTTCTGTTTACACTATGCTGTAGTCTATTAAGCGTTCGATAGTATTATGTTGAAAAACAACCTCAATATACATATTATAACTTAAAAATACTTTATTTCTAAAAAAAAACGTTAACCATCATCTGAGCCTTCAGCGAGCCATAATGTGTGTGTGTGTGTGTGTGTGTGTGTGTGTGTGTGTGTGTGTGTGTTTTCCTGGTGAGGTAATTGGTGTTAAGTGACTTGCCCAGAGTCACAGCTAGTAAGTGTTATGTGTCTAAGGCCTGATTTGAATTTAGGTCCTCCTGATTCCAGAGCTGGTTCTCTGTGCCACCTAGCTACTCCAAGTCATAATGTTTTTTGCTGGTGGAGGGTCTTAGCTCAATTTTGATGGCTGCTGACTGATCAAGATGGTGGTTGCTGTAGGTGGGTGTGGCAGTGGTATTAAAATAAGGCAATATATGAAGTCTGCCAAGTTGATTAACCCTTTCACCTCAGCACTTAGAAAGCACTGTAGGGTTATTAATTGGCTTAATTTCAATATTGTTGTGTCTCAGGGAAGAGGGAGACCCAAAGAGAGGGAGAGAGAGAGAGAGAGACAGCCAATCAATGGAGCAGTCAGAACACTACAACATTTATTAAGTTTGCCGTCTTATATGGGTAATGTTTGTAGTGCTCCCCAAAAATTATAATGGTCACATCAAAGATCAACTGATCACAGATCACCGTTAACAGATATACTAACAATGAGACATTTTGAAATATTGCAAGAATTACTCAACTATAACACAAAGACATGATGTGAGCATGTGCTATTGGAATAGACTTGCTCAAGGCAGGGTTGTCAAAACCCTTCAATTTGTAAAAAAATAGGGGGCAGCTGGGTGGCACA